ATATGCACCTACCAAAACATTACTGCCTGTGAAAGAGATCACCACATACAGTATATTATTGAACATGCCTGTGTGCACAAGTTTCTTAAAACCACAAACATTCAGTTGCTGGTTGCATAAAAAAAAAACAGGATTTAATTGCCCTGGTGTTTACTGTGTGAAAAAGTGCAACAGAGTTCTTTGAACACACTCCCAACTGGTTGCCGCTGGTTATCTGGAGTGTGCAGGAAATGTATCTGTCATACATGATGTGATTACGTCGGAGTTCCGGCCTCAGTGGTTTCATCCTGTGTGGGTCGAGCCTCGGGTCCGTCTGAAGCAAACAGACAGTTATCTGTGGGCAGTATTGACCTGCTAAGTTGTTTGCTAGCGCAGTGAGTTGCATCGATCGGCTCTCTTTCCTCCCTCTCCTGTATTCTCGTGTTGCTGAAGCTTTTGGCCGTAGCGAGCTGACTCTCCCTTACTGGCAGCCAAAGAGAAAACAACATCTGAATGTGGACACTAACACAGTGTTTTGGTTGTCTGGTTTTCTTGCTGGAATTTGGTTTTAGATGTGTCCGATTGGCTCAAGGCTGGATCGGATTGAAAGAGCTTGTCAGATGCATCCAGCCATGGTTGCTTCTACTTATATACTTCCTTTTAGTTTATTTATGAGAGGAATGCTGGCTAGACTGACATGATACTGACCATGGCGTTACTGCACGGTCTACTGAGTTTTTCATAATTAGGTTTTTTTGTTGTTGTAGATTTTATAGTTTTTGTTGGTGTTACTCTTTTCTTTATCTGTTAAGCTGTTGTTGCTAGCACTGGTAATGCTAACTACACAATTCTTGCTCAGCTAACTTCAAACAAATCACTTCCTTTAAGAAAAAGAATCTCAAAACATCAAGTATTAAAAAATTAATTCTTATTTTGAACACCTGGGGGGTATCATTTAATATAGCAAACGTATTAGCAAACAGTTGGAGAAACCTTAGTATTAATTTTGAATCATGTTTCTGGCCACACGACAAATGTAAGATGAATATTCACTTTTTAGTGTTGCTCTCCAGCTGCTAAATGCTACGTTCGCCTGCTAGCTGCTAACTTTGCCTGTCTGCGGTTGGTGGCACAAAAAAAGTTCAAAAAAATAGTGTCTTGTCATCATCGTTAATTATTTCCTTTGAGGCCTTCGTGGTTATGGAATAAAATGCCACAGAGTAGACGATTTTAATTCCATGTTTTGAGTTTTAGACTACTCCCACAGAGCCTTTGTAGTTCACTCGTGCTAGCTCGAGGAATACACACTGTTGTTTGGACTCCTCACTCACTCCAGCATGGAGGAGGAATCCACTGAGTGGTACCTGTGCTGCTGACGCCGGGGCCCCACAGGAATTCATTAAGCTATCAGCACAGAAGGAAGTTTGTGAATTAGTCCATATGGAGCTGTTGGCAACTGCATAGTTAGCCTGCATCTGGTCATTAGTCTAATTAAAGCAGGAAAGCACATGACTGCCAGTTAGAAGAGAAGCATGGTTTCAAAACATGCAGGGCCAGACTGATAGTGGATTTTTAAGATTAATACAAATCTTGAAATTACAATGTATTTATTGCTACTTATCAGCAGAGATATATGCTGTTGACAATTATACAGTATATCTGTAAAATCTAAAAATCCCATTGATGTATTGTGATTTATTGGCCGGGCTCTACTGAAAAAATCAGTTGAGTGTACAATTTAATTTCTTACAGGATGTTTAAACCTCCAGTTACTGTTTCTTTTACCACTTGGGGTAAGCAGAGACAAGCTGTAAACTCAGCTTGTTAGCATACTTGTCTATTTGCACATCTAGGAGATGTGAGCAACATTAGCATTAATTTGGAGTGTCTCAGGCCACATGGTGAATATAAGTCCACTATTCACTCTCTCTATTTTAATTGGAAATATCTGCCTCTTTAGCTGCTAAATGCTTCACTATGTTACCAGCTACTTGCTAACTTTGGTAGAGCATTTTTGCTGAAAACAGCTGCCTACGGTAACTAGAAACAAGCTATGAGTGCGAACCAAAGTCGCGTGTTGTAAAACCAAAACAAAGAGCTGAAAAGTGCTAAAGCGCTCCATAGAGCTGAGGGGAACTGAAGAGCTGAAATGAAGTGACCCTTTTCACATTACAATTAAAATTAAAAAAATTAAATTACTAAAAATATTATTGAAAGATTACTTAAGAGATACCTGAAAGCAGACTTGGGTATGGTTGCAGCAAAGTTAGCCACAATGCTAATGTTGACAAGACACAGTACACCGGGCTAGTGTGTAAATCATATTTATTAATAAGAGGAGAATTATAGGTAACTAGATAAGGGCAATGAATGAATATTTTCATTACAGATAATTATATTTAATAGTTTAATCAATAAATTGTCAGAAAATAGTGACAAATGTCCATCACAGGTTCCAAGAGTCCATGGTCTACAAACTGCTTGTTTTGTCTAACCAACAGTCTAAAATGCAAAGATATTCAATTTAAAATTATATAAAACAGAGAAATGCACCAAATCCCAACATTTGGAAAGCTAGAACCAGGGAATATTTGATATGTGACAATTTACTGATTATCTATTATTTGCTAGGTAGATGTAGGGTTAAACCAAAACCTAAAAATTTTCCGACTGTGTACTTGTGTTACTATAACTGAAGATCCTTAGTAAATTTATGTGAGCTGGTTGAGTGCACAATTTCTCTATTTAGTCCATTCCAACATGGCACAGCTACACTGAATGTTGCAGTGATGCAGGTCAGCAGTTGGCACCCGTCCTAGTGATCACTATTCATTATTAAAGACAGAGCCAGGGCTACATGGGACATGACTTCATTGGTTGTTCAGTTCAGTCCTCTGCTTTCCTTCTGAGAGGTCACAGACCACATCTTGCTGACTCAGACCACAACAATATAGGCCATCAGTAACGCTGAGTCAGAGCACAGTTAGAATAAAGAACGGTGACAATGACTCATCTCACATTGAAGGTGCAATAACAGTCTGCAAGCACAACTAAAAACAGTATGCAGTAGCAATGACTGGTGTTGAACATGATTTTTCTTTTTTCTACCAAATTCAAAAACAACTATTATTTAACACATTAAATGTAAATTTGCCTTCCTGAGTCAAAGTCTCTTGAATTCCTTCCTATTTCTGTCCTAATCTCAGTGGAGAGGTGTGTCTCCAAATAATCTTGGCACCAATCTCTGACCTTCATATTCAGTCAGCAGAGAGAGGAGGACCAGCAGGGAGACATGCTGCGGGGAGGAGTACTGTCTCTCTGTCCTCCGGCTCTCCTCACTCTATAATTGAACTGGTCCTGGGCAGACTAAGACGACGTGATGGACCCTTTGATCATTCTGTTCCAGACCCTGTTATAACCTCTCCCAAAATAGTACCAAGTGCTCCATTAATCGTGACAGTGGGTAATCTAAATTGTACGGCCGCATTACGTCTTCTTCTGTAAGATTAAGTTCCCCCTCATTTTCCCCTCAACCCTTCTTGAACCACCATTTCCTTCTGTTCTGACATATTCTTATTACTGCCCTTTTCCTCCACCCTCTTTTGCTCTTCATTTGCTCTTTCTTCATCTATATCTCCTCCTGCACTAATGCACTTATTTTGTTCAGCTCTTTCTCAATTTCTTTCCAATTTCTAGACCTCCACTTGGCGGCAGAGCTGGGAAAGACTCTGCTGGAGAGGAACAAGGAGCTAGAGGACTCCCTGCAGCAGATGTACATCACTAATGAAGAGCAAGTGCAAGAGATCGAGGTACGAATCAAGGAACCAAGGAAATTAATTTAGCTTTAAAGGTTGTACAATGAAATGAAAGTTTATAGACCTTTCATGCTACACACATAGAAAAAAGACAACCAAATCCATAGTAGATCAACATACAAAATAAAATCAATAAAATAAAACAATATGAACAGATATCATTTATATACATACACGTATACAACCTGTCAAAGCTGTCAAGAGCCTGTCCTGACTCAGGCAGGTTGGGAAGCGCAGAGAAAGGCTTTATTATGATCCTTAATATATTGATTTAGAGAATTTGTATCTAATCTAAGATCTTATTTCTCCCTTGCTAATTGAAACCATTGATTGAATTAAAAAATTCAATGATAAGACAATGAGTGAGTTACAGTGCTTTCTACTTCTTGTGACACAATTTGTCATATTTTTAGAATTTTAAAGGTCTCAGTTGTAACATTAAGGAGGATCTAT